GAATCAGGTGTGATCTAAGGGAAAGAGAGAGGGTAAGAGAATTTGGAGCTCTGCAAGATTAAAAAGACTCAATGGCAGAGATTTTAAGACTCAAGATAAACACAACACTGCAGCACTATTAAAAAATATTTAGAGATTGTTTTCCAGATGGAAAAACTGTGTGAGGCATCCCCAGTCACCTTCACAGTGTTGTGTATTTCTGAGGTCATCAGGCTCCTGGCTGCCATGATCACATCCTGGCACTTCTTGTTGGCAAAGTGGGAATCGACATTGCAGGCGTATTTCAGCAAGGCAGTGGTGTCTTCCTTCAAAAACTGCATCTTCTTCAGGGCCTTCTCAAACTCCTCTGTGGACTCGATCACCTGAGGAGAGCAGACGTGTTCCATGTTAGCACAGTCTCCAAAAACCAGGGAACAAAGTTAAATTGGGTATAAAGGCCGGAAGCAAAGGATGAACGAGGTTTTGGAGGGCACTGACCACTGGAATGCCATCCCACTGGAGTGCCTGGGCTCTGTGTTCAAGCCTGAGGGGCTTTTTGGGACCCACCTCTTTGTACTGCTCCAGTTTGCTGCTGTTGGTTGGGATGGAGTTCACCAGGCAGTTGTGGATGAGGCAGTCTGAGAGCTCCTCCCAGATGAGCTCCCCCAGCAGCTCTGCCAGGCTGACTCTGCCTTCCTTTCTGCCTTCCCCAGGCTGCTCCAGAGGCACATCTGCATCCCAGAGAAGAAAAACAGATTTTAATACAGCTGCTTCCTGGGCCAGACCCTCGATCAGCTCAAAAGCCTTTCCTCCATTTTCCTTGCACACAATGCTGATTAACAATCAGACATTCTAGAAAACTCCCATTAAATGAACAAGGTACTGATCATAACTAACTCCAGAAGAGAGGAACTACATACTGAGCAGGTATTTGTGCAGAACTTCAAACACCAGCTTGATCTTCTCAAACACCTCCATAGGAGAGGACTCATCCAGAGCAAGCTCCTGGGACCTGAACCTCAGGATGAACACATCTGGCTGTTCCTCTGGGACTGGCTCCAGGGACGGGTGTGAGATCAGAGGCTTCAGGATGTACTGCAGCAACAAGTGGCCTGAGGAAAGGGAAAAACAGAGGTTTTCCAACAGCAGATTGCTCCAGTGAGGTCCAGCCCTGACTGTTCTGGATTTAGAGACTGCAAGGAGTAGGAGGAATAATCCCTTGATCAGCTCTGTCAGGGAATTACTAATGAGGTAAACTGTTCAAGCATCAGGCTATGAAACCACATAGTCACAGGTCAGAAGTACACTGCATTGTCAGGAAAGGAGAAATAATTCCAGGTAGATAATGAGAATAAATATTTTCCTGTTAGTAAGAGTTCCAGCATTCACCTCAGCAGGAAACACAAGCCAGGAGAGGAAGAAATTTTCCAGTGTCCTGTTGGAGTGAAGTGGATCTCACTATCCACATCAAAACAAGCCTGAAGTATCCCCCTGAGCTACTGGGGCTGTTTCTGGGGTCTGTCTTACCAAAATCTTTGAGCTTGGAGTGCAGCTCTCCCAGGACAGCCAAGGCCTGCAGCACAGCAGCCACGGCGGGGACAGCAGCATCCTTGTCCTGGGGTGGCACCGTGTGCAGGTGCAGCTCCGAGAGCACCACGGCCTCCAGGCTGCTGCTTCCTGCACACAAAGCACACCCAGGGCTGTCACAGGGCACAGCAGAAGCAGAGATCCACCCTCCCCAGAGCACGAGCTCCTTCAACCCCCTCAGCCCAACAGCTTCACTGCATGTCCCACCCTGCAGGTGACAACAGGGACTTCAGTGGGGCAGAAAGAGTGAAAAAACCCCTGGGAGCACCTTTGGAAGGGGGAAGCTTCCACACAATGAGCTTCTGCCACTCCTCCCCGAGGTGGTAGATGACGTTCTGCGTCTGCACTGTGAGCTCTGTGCTCAGGGCCTTCAGGATCTTCAGCTCAAAGCCCTTGCGGGACTCCAGGCTCCTGAGGCTGCTCCGTGCCTGGGGGAGAGCAGACACGGCTCAGCAGGCGCTGCCCCTGCCAGGAGCCATCCTCTGGAAGCCAGGCAGGGCACCCAGCACCCTGCCAGGGGCCACCGCTACCTTCTCCAGCCGCTGAGCTGCTGCCACGTACTGCCGGTCCTGCAGGGCACAGCTGCACTCCTTGACAGTGGTATCGAACTGCAAAGGCCAAACACAGCTGGTGTCACTGCAGCTCTGCTGGGACACCACAGACAGACAGCCAGACTGGAGCTACAGACAGCCAAACTGGAGCTACAGACACCCAAACTGGATCTACAGACACCCAAACTGGAGCTGCAGACACCCAAACTGGAGCTGCAGACACCCAAACTGGAGCTGCAGACACCCAAACTGGAGCTACAGACAGCCAAACTGGGAGCTACAGACAGACACCCGCCCAAACTGGGAGCTACAGACAGACACCCAAACTGGGAGCTACAGACAGACACCCTAACTGGGAGCTACAGACACCTAAACTGGAGCTACAGACACCCAGACTGGGAGCTACAGACACCCAATCTGTGAGCTACAGACACCCAAACTGGGAGCTACAGACACCCAAACCTGTGAGCTATACACACCCAATCTGTGAGCTACAGACACCCAAACCTGTGAGCCACATTCACCCAATCTTTGAGCTACAGACACCCAGTCTGTGAGCTACAGACACTCATCCAAAACAGAAGCCCAGAACAATGTCCCACACTGAGGAGCAGGATTATTTTGCTCCCCCTCCTCACCTCCTGCAGCTTTTTCAGGACGCTCAGGACCAGCGTGTCCCTGTCCAGCTGCTGCTTCAGCTCTGTGAACTCAGCAACAGCCACGTTTAGATCTTGCTGGACCTAAAACAACAGCAGCTTTCAGTTCACTGACAGCACTGGTTAGCACACACCTTTTCCTCTTAAATTTCATTTATCATTTATTTCTGTTCATAGAATAATTTGGTGAGGAGGGAAAAAACTCCATCCTTTTTATCCCTGTGTCCCACCCCCTGCCCCAGCCAAGGCTGGTCCTTCTCCCTGAAGGACACAGTGACACACTTTTCCATCCACGCCAGAGTGACAATCCCTTAATGACAGCCTTACTGTACACCCTGGTGTCACCTCAAGGCATTCTTTAGGGCTGATATCACCCAGGGATCCCAGCCACAGAACCACAGAACCTCCTGAGCTGGAAGGGTCCTGCCACAAACCCCAACATCCCATCATGAAAGCGTTTTCTGAACACTCCTTGAGCTCTGGGGTTTGGGGCTGTGACCAAACACCCCACGATGGGGCGGGGGGCTCCAGATTTGGGATGAAATGGAGCAGAATGTCCCCGGGGAGTCACCTCGTTCTCAATGCCAGCCTTGAGCAGGTCGATGTTGTTGGACAGCCCCTCCACCTGTGCCACCAGCTCCTCTGCGCTCTGCATGCTGGGCAGGAACTCGCTGTACTTCTTGTTGATCATGGTGCACACCTCTCCCTGAGGACGGCGGGACAGAGGGACAGGACAGCCGGCACGGGGTGAAGGAGCAGGGCAGGGCTGGGCACCCCGGGCTAGGGCTGGGGCACCCCAGGATGGAGAGGGCTGGGCACCCCTGGGTACCCCGGGATGGAGAGGGCTGGGCACCCCTGCCAGGGCTGGGCACCCCTGGGGCACCCCAGAATGGAGAGGGCCGGGATACCCCTGACCAGGGTTGGGCACCCCTGGCTAGGGCTGGGCACCCCTGGGTACCCCAGGATGGAGAGGGCTGGGAACCCCTGGGTACCCTGGGATGGAGAGGGCTGGGCACCCCGGGATGGAGAGGGCTGGGATACCCCTGACCAGGGCTGGGCACCCCTGCCAGGGCTGGGGCACTCCGGGACGAACCAGGATTGACACCCGGGGCTGAACCAAGGCTGGGCACCCCAATCCAGCTGACCCAGGGCTGGACACCCGGGGCTGAACCAAGGCTGGGCACCCCAATCCAGCTGACCCAGGGCTGGACACCCCGATCCAGCTGACCCAGGGCTGGACACCCCGATCCAGCTGACCCAGAGCAGGACACCCGCTCCAAACCAGGGCTGGACACCCCGATCCAGCTGACCCAGGGCTGGACACCCCGATCCAGCTGACCCAGGGCTGTACACCCGCTCCAAACCAGGGCTGGACACCCCGATCCAGCTGACCCAGGGCTGGACATCCGGCCCAAACCAGGGCTGGACACCCCGATCCAGCTGACCGAGAGCAGGACACCCGCTCCAAACCAGGGCTGGACACCCCGATCCAGGCGACCCAGGGCTGGACACCCGGCCCAAACCAGGGCTGGCCACCGAGCTGACCCAGGGCTGGACACCCGGTCCTGACCGGCTCCGGCGCAGCGCCGCCCCCGCGTGTCTCCCCGCGCCCCTTCCGTTCCCCGTGCCTTGCCTTGAGCTCCTCGACGCGGCGGGAGAGGCGCCCGACGCGGGCTCCCAGGTGCTCCTTGTCCAGCCGGCCCGAGTGAGCCAGCACGGCCGCCACCAGCGAGCCCGCCCGCGCCGCCATGGCTGCGCGCCCTACGGTGGCCGCGAGGGACACGGGACCGCGGCGCGGAGCTCGAGCGGCGGGCCGCGGGTTCGAGACTGCGCGGGGACAACTGGAAATGGGGGGATAGGGGACCGCGATTATGGGGACACGGAGATGCCGGAGGATCCGTGGGTGGCGTGAATTGTGGCTGCAGGAGGACACCAGTGGATGCTGAAGGTCTATGGCTAGCAGTGGATGCCGGGGTCAGTGGCTATGGGGGACCAGTGACCGCAGGGGGATGCGGAAATTTTGGGGACTCCCCAGCTCTGCAGTGTTTCCTGGCTGGGGGGCACCAGTAGGTACCAGGGGTCCAGGGGGACAGGGAGATGTGGGGCTCAGTGGCTCCTGCAGGGTTCCTTGTGTGCCTCCCATCCCTCCCGGGGGAGGCAGCATCAGCCCCCGGCATCCGGTGCCTGACGCAGCCCGGGCGGGAGGTGCCTTGTGGTGACAGCTCTCCCCACGTCCTGCCAGGGGGACAGAGCCAGCACCGCCGTGCCATGCCGGGGGGAACGGCCCTGAGTGCCTGGGCACTGCTGGCCAGCCTGGCCGTGGCCCCCTCGGGGGTCCGAGGTGAGTCCAGAGGTGCGGGGTCAGCGGCCGGACACTCGCCGTGGTCCCTGCTGGGAAGGAACCCCGGGGACTGGTGAGGTTTCCCAGCAGGAAAGGTTCGGAATGTCCATGGGGAAAAGGGAGTCAGTGCAGGAGGATGGGGGAGCCTGCTTAGCCCAGAGTGGTTTTGGGGCAGCCTGATGTGATGCTTCCTCCCCAGGAAGGAGCTCCGAGCTCTGCGCTGCTGGTCATCACTCAGAGGTGAAGCTCTGCTCCCTTCTCCTTGCACAGGGCAGATATTCGTGAAGGAATTCAGCGGGAAGGTGTTCCTGGAGTGTGTGAGGAGCCAAGGCAAGAACATCACGTGGTGGAGAGATGGGAGCACTGTTGGACACGAGGCACAGCTGGACCTGAGTGGGGTCTACGACGACCCCAGGGGTGTCTACGTGTGTCAGACAGGGGACAAAAGGAGCAGCCTCCAGGTGCACTATCGCAGTAAGTGCTGCACTCCTGCTTTGCCAGAGCCAGAACCGCTTGGAGTTTTCCCCCAGCCAAATCTTGAGGGAATTTTCCCTCATCTGGGAGTGTCTCCACGGGTTTGCTGCAGGTTCCTGTGCGTGTGGTGTCACTGTGACAGCCCTGCAGCCCTGTTCAGTGCCACGACCTGCTCCTCTGGCCCTGCACGGGCTGTGGGGGACACGTGGCAGCTTGTGGGTCACACAGCAAACCCAGCTGCTCTCTGTTGGACTGGCAGAGCTGGCTGAGCCCTCTGGAAGTGCCCCTGCCCTCAGTGTCCGTGTCCTTTTGGGCTTGCAGTGTGCCAGAACTGCATCGAGGTGGACGCTCCCACCATCTCGGGCATCGTCATCGCCGACGTGGTGGCCACGCTGCTCCTGGCAGTGGCCGTGTTCTGCATCACTGGCCACGACAGGGGACACACCTCACGAGGTGAGTGCCTGGCACCCCTGGGGGCTCTGTGCGGCACCCAGGCGCTGCAGCCAGCTCTTGGGTTTGTTTGGAAGTGTTCCCCACGGTGCCCGTGGCTCCCCTGAGCTTGTCCTTCTTTCTTCCTTCAGCTTCTGACAAGCAGAACCTGATCTCCAATGAGCTCTACCAGGTGAGTGTGGGGGCACCCCTCTGTGTGTGGGGACACCTTCAGCACCCCTGTGTGTGTGGGGGGACACGTTTAACCCCCACCCTGTGTGCGTGGGGACACTTTCAGCCCCTCTGCGTGTGTTTGGGGCACCTTCAGCCCCTCTGTGTGTGTGTTTGGGGCACCTTCAGCCCCTCAGTGTGGAGAGAACCTTGCCAAAGGCTGACCCAGCTCGCCCTCCCAGGGCTGGGCAGGTACAGTTTGGGCTCATCTCCCCTTTTTTCCCCCTGGCAGCCCCTGGGGGAGCGGGAGGAGGAGCAGTACAGCCGGCTGGCTCCCGCCCGTGCCCGCAGGTGAAGAGGAAGACTCTGAGACTGCCTTCATCAGCGTGCTGCCTTTGCTTGGGGGACCCTCCAGGGTGGGCTGCTTGCAGCTCTGTGCTCATTCCACCACCTCTTGCACTTCTAAATTCTTGCCATTAAAGATGAGCCTGTCCCACGGGCTCCCTGCTCCATCTGCTGTGTCCAGCTCCTGGGGAAGGGGCACAGGGATGGGGTCTGGTCACTGGGACGGGGCACAGGGATGGGGTCTGGTCACTGGGAAGGGGCACAGGGATGGGGTCTGGTCACTGGGAAGGGGTCTGGTCACTGGGAAGAAGCACAGGGATAGGGTCTGGTCACTGGGATGTGGTCTGGTCAGTGGGAAGGAGCACAGGGATGGGGTCTGGTCACTGGGAAGGGGCACAGGGATGGGGTCTGGTCACTGGGAAGGGGTCTGGTCACTGAGAAGGGGCACAGGGATGGGATCTGGTCACTGGGAAGGAGCACAGGGATGGGATCTGGTCACTGGGATGGGGTCTGGTCACTGGGAAGGGGCACAGGGATGGGGTCTGGTCACTGGGAAGTGGCACAGGGATGGGATTTAGGATGGCAATGCCAGGTCTCCACTCCCCAGCCCCAAGCAGAAACAGTTCATGTGGTCTGAGTCCCCAAAATGGGACACAGACAGGGCCAGGCAGCATCACCTCACCCTGGAAGGACAAGGAAATATTCCCCTGGTGCAGGTAAGCACAGAGGCAGGGCTGCTGCCACTGCCTCGGTGCTGATCCTGCTCTGTGAGATGGCACTGGCTGGGACAAACATTGGGACACACTCCTACATTGATGTACCCCAAAAATGGTGATAGCAGCACTGGGGTGTAGGAAAATTTAGGGGTTTTTTGAAGCAAAATGTAGGCCCAGAGCAGTGCAAGCTTCTCCCAGCCCAGTGGTGGCTGAGCAGTGCTGGCTTGCAGAAGGTGAGAGCGTGGCCCTGCGTGGGTTTGGAGCTCTGGGGGATGGTTGTGCCCTGTGTATCTCTCCATCTCCCCGCTCAGGCATGGGGCCTGCTGTGGTAAACGAGCCCAGCTGTGCCTCTAAACCGCATCCTGGAGCTGCTGGGGTGCAGCTGAACACCCCCAGCCCTGCTGCGCTGCTGCTTCCTCTGCTCAGGGCTGCCTCAGCCAGGCTTTGGGCTGGAGCAGGCACCAAAACAACCCACGGGCCCCTCTTAACCCGTGCTGCACACCCACTTGTGGGGTTTCACTGCCTGCAGGGCTGGAAACGGAGGCCAGGCTGTGAGGGGAGAGCAGGACCAGGTCAGAGGCAAATCCCCTTGAGAAGGATCCGCTCTCAGCCCAGGGAACCCCAAAAGCAAGTGGAAATACTCAAGGTAGAAAGTAAACCTGAGGGAAAAGCAGCAGGAGCAAATCCCCGTGAGGAGGATCCCCTCTCGGCCCAGGGAACACCAGAAACGAATGGGGGCACTGAGGGCAGAAATTAAGCCTGAGGGAAAAGCAGCAGGAGCAAATCCCCGTGAGGAGGATCCCCTCTCGGCCCAGGGAACACCAGAAACGAATGGGGGCACTGAGGGCACAAATTAAACCTGAGGGAAAAGCAGCAAGACCAAATCCCCCAGAGGAGGATCAACTCTCGGCCCATGGAGCACCAAAAGCAAGTGGGAACACTCAAGGTAGAAATTAAACCTGAGGGAAAAGCAGCAGGAGCAAATCCTTGTGAGGAGAATCCACTCTTGGCCCAGGGAGCACCAAAAGCAAGTGGAAATACTCAAGGTAGAAAGTAAACCTGAGGGAAAAGCAGCAGGAGCAAATCCCCCAGAGGAGGATCCACTCTCGGCCCAGGGAACACCCAAACCAAGTGGAAACACTCAAGGTAGAAATTAAACCTGAGGGAAAAGCAGCAGGAGCAGAGAGAAGTGTGAGGGGAAAAGGAGACCAGGAACGCCCAGTGAGGCTGCAGTCCTTTAATGAGAAGGAAATCTCTTGCCAATGTGCTCATTTCTGTTCTGGGCCGGCACACCCAAGCACACCCCGGGCTGGGACAGCACATCCCTGTCCTGTGGCCACCTGGCTGAGCCCAAAATGCCAGAGGCTCAGCAGAGAGCTGGGAACAAGCTGGGCAGAAGCGTTTCCCGCAGAGCTGCTGGTGCCAGGCTGCCATCACAGGAGGTTCAGAGGCCCCTGGGTGCCAGGCCTGCGTACACCTCCCGCTGGCCCTTCCGGATGGGCTGTGGGGAGACACGAGCAGAGACCCCGGGTCAGGAATCCTCACCTGAGCCCACAGGGTGTGGAGAAAAGCACAGCAGAGCAGGGGCAGTGCCCAGGCAGCTGCAGCTCTGCCCCCACATAAATCCCATGGCAGCACCAGAGAAAGGGGCTGTGCCCTCACCACCCTTCTCCCTTTTCCTGCCAGGAAATCTGGGAGCTTGGCTGGATGCTTCTTCAACGATAATTGACCTGAAACAGCCCCAGCCCTGGCTGTCCCTCCCCGGGGATGGAAAGGGACTGTCCTCACCTCATAGTCCGGGTTCGGGACAGGGGGAGGCCGCTGCATCTTCTGACCTGAAACAGAGGCACAGAGAGGGTGAATCCCTGGGGGTTCCTGCCACGAGGGGCCTCCAGGCTGATCCCAGGGCCAGGCACACCACGGATCACCTCCCATGGATTTATCCTGAGCTCCTGAAGAGCCAGCTGCTGCCAGGAGGTGCAGGGCTGGCTCCAGCACAGCGGCCAGGGAAATGGGTTCCATTGCAGCAGCCAGCCCATCCCTGCACAGAGACAGCCTGGAGAACACCCCTGGGGAGCAGGAGCATCGCCTGGAAGCTCGTGGGGAGCAGAGGATGCAATGAGAGGGTTTTCTGGGTGCTCAGAGGGCGGCACAGGCAGCAGGGATGCCTGCAATGGCTCTCACCTCGTGGCCGACTGTCCCCAGCAGCGCTGGCTCGTCCCTTCCTGCCTTTGCTGAAGTAATAGACCAGGATCAGCACGCCCAGGGTGATGAGGAGGTCTGCAGTGATGATCCCTGCCACAGTCAGGGCATCCAGCTCCTCACAGGTGGCACACACTGCGGGGATGAGGGCAGGGGATGCTCAGAGCCCAGGCCTGGCTCAGCCGAGGGTGGCACAGGGCTACGGGCAGCTGGGAAGGGGAAAAGGGCAAACTGAGGGGAAAGGGGAGAGTCCTTCTGCCAAAAATGGGCTCTGGGACTGGCCTCAGCAGCACCACATTCACCCAGCACTGGAAAATCAGTGTCAGCCCCAAAACGTGCCACTGCCACGTGCAGGTGAGGGGGCTGCGCTCACCTTTGGCGTTCAGGTACAGCTGATGCTTCTTGTTACCCAAGGAACAGCTGAGGTTGGCAGGAGTGCTGTCATGGTCCTTTATAATGAACTTCCTCTCCTTGGTGTCCTGGGTTTTCCCAAACAGGTCCCACCGGATGTCCTCGTCCTCCAAGGGACACGTGATGGTCACCGTGGTGCCAGAAATCTCCACCAGGAATTCCCCTTGGGAAGACACACCAGTGAGAAAGGAAACCGAGGGCAAAAGTCAAATATTTCTACCTGATTTTTAGTCAGTACAGTCTTTATGTCCCGCTAAATACTAAAGAATGCTGGTAAAATTCACTTACCCTCCAGTTCTTCATCTGCAAAACAGAAAACAAGAAGTGTTAAAAATCATCTCACCATTGCCTCACAGTGTTGGAAATGCCCAACACTGGTAATAATTAGGGACCAATTTCTCCAATCAGTAAGACCACTGTCAATCAATGAATTGATTGACACGAATTTTTCCTGTCCTGCAATATTTACAAAATTCAAATCTTCCTATTTGACTCTTAGTCCTCACTTTTGAGGCATATTTGGGGTTTTCAGCATGATAAATAGTCAAGGATGGCAGTAAAATACACTTACCCTGCTGAGCTGTGGTGCCAACTGCAAAAAAAAAGAATAAGAAATGTAAATTAATTGAGCTTCAGATATCACACACCTTTCCTACTCCCAGGACACCCTTTCTGAGCTCAGCTGCTCAAAAGAGATGTTTATAATCTCACATTCATGCTGAAGACATCAAACATTCTGGTGGTGAGACAGGATGTTGTTGTGAACTTGGAAGCCATTTTCAATGCAGCCTAACGCAGAATGGAAACTTGAATCATTTCCCAACCCAGCTCAGAGAAAAGGGCTGTTATTGCAAGATGCAAACCCCGAAATTCTGCTTTGTTATCATGGAGCAAACACTGCCGGGAAATCCTGGTAAGAACCTCTGTCCTCAGCAAGAGAACTCGCTGTAAACCAGTTTATCTGTGTGGGTTTTCTGCCTTGTAGGAAACAACTTTGCTCCATGAGAGGCTCTGGAGCTGGGATATAAAGAAAGAGCTTTTAAGAGGTGTGAATCATATTTGTGATTTCCTTTAAAGACATTTGTCCTTTTGCATAAAGTAACAAAAATAAACTACTGCAGATTTGAATTCCACAGCGGACCTGGCTGGAGAGAAGGTGACCTGATGGTTTTTATTTTACATAGATACATTTAAATCTGGAAAAAGAACAGGCCACTGATAAACCACATTTTCTGTCTTCAAAGATTGGTATTTGCAGCACTTTGGCAGAGTAGTTGGAGTATTGTAACATCTCTAAATGCATTACCTTGCACACTCATCTCTCCTCATTACTGGGTTCCTTAGAGCCTTTACAGGTACTCTGCACTTCATCCCAAACCAGGGGCATCCCAACTGCCACCACACCCCTGACATCCCACCAAGCCCGAATCACTTACCCAGGATCACCAAACTTGGAGAAAAGGGCAGGGATAAAGGATAAAACCAAAATTAGGAGCGTGGAACCTTGCAGCTCACACTGCACCGACCCTGCTGTCTGAAGTTCGGGGACTCACCTGCACACAGGAGGAGCCCCAGGAGGGGCAGGCACTGCTCCAGCCTCATCCTCGTGTTCCTCCTCCTGCTGCTCCTCTCCACCACATCAGACTGGCGTGGCTGTGGCAGGAAAGAACACGGTGGCTTTTCTAGAAAGAAGCCCGGGATTGTTTTTCCCAGAATTGCTACCGACCCGAACAGGGCTGGGGGACTCACTGTTTCCAGAGCAGCCAAGGCAGACCCAGACACGTGAAATCAGCCCAGGTCAGGAAGTGCAGAGGCTCAAAATGTGTTCGTGGGACGTCACTGCCAGCCAGGGGTGGCTGCTCTGCTCTGCAGCAGCTCTGCAGGGCTCGGGACAGCTCCTGGGAGGAGAGAGAAACGAGCTGGAATCAGATTTGCCATCAGGACCTTCCCAACAGCTTCTCAAAGTGAGAGCTTGAGGGACTCCAACTGCAGCAAAGGACTTCATGTGGAATCCCAGCATGGTTTGGGTGGGAAGGGACCATAAAGCCCATCTATAAAGCCCATCCCATCCCAGCCCTGCCATGAGGGACACCCTCCACTGTCCCAGGCTGCTCCAAGCCCCATCCAGCCTGGCCTTGGGCACTGCCAGGGATCCAGGGGCAGCCACAGCTGCTCTGGGCACCCTGTGCCAGGCACCCCCCACTCCCAGGGAACAATTCCCACCTCCCAATATCTCATCCATCCCTGCCCTCTGGCAGTGTGAACCCATTCCCACTGTCCTACCCTCCAGCTGCTGACCAAGAGCCCCTCTCCATCTTCCCTGCAGGTCCCTCCAGGCACTGGCAGGCTGGAAGGAAGGAACCAGGAGCTCCACCCAAAGCTGAGCACCCCGAGCCCTGCCCGGGCACAGGCCATGGCCCCCTGCCCATCCCCTGCCCATCAGCCCCTCCCAGCAGCATTTTTGGGAAGTTATCCCGCTCGGGCGCTCCCGATGGAAGTGGCTGGCCCCACTAGAGGGGGCTCCTGGCCCGGCCAGCGCCGCACCAGGGCACGGTCCGTGCCAGCCGGGGCTTGGGCACGCACAGACCCCGGGCACCGGGCCAGGGCCGCTCCGGGCTCTGCCCGCGGGGTGCTGGCAGCAATCACCGTTTGGTGATGCTGGGTAAGTGATTCAGGCTTGGTGGGACACCCGGGCTGTGGTGGCAGCTCCCACCCGGGCTGCTGGGATGCCCGCTGGTTTGGGATGAAGTGCGGAGTGCCTGTAAAGGCTCTAAAGGGACACGGGGGGAGGCTGCTGTGCCCCGTTTCCTTTATTGGGGTGCTTTCCTTGGCCGTCAGGATCCTTTTCCTCATTTATGTTTCCAAGTAGAACATCAGAGAGTTTAGGTTACTGGCGAGCGTGCCAGGGACTTGCTCTTCTCTTAAAAGTTTGTGTTTCGTAAAAGGATGAAGATCAGCAGAAGTCTGCAGGCAAAGGGGCTGTTCCCAGCCCTGTGCAGAACCAGGATTAGGAAGTGGCAGCAAATTGGCCGCTAAACTTTGATCGCAGCCTGAACAAAGCCCCAGAGTGGTAAATATTCACGGTGGGAGGAAACAAAAGGAGGCGATATGCTGGAATTGTAACTGAGTGGAAACCTGGGGAGATGGAGCGATGAAGGGCTAACACGGGACCAAATCATTCCAGGAAAATGGAGATCCTTGGTGTCCCGGAGGCGTTAGCACAGCGGGATTCTCTGCTCTGTTCTGGGGACAATCCAGGGAGATGATGGCCTCGGTGCTGGTTTTCCATCTCCAAATCGCTGAAGGGAACCCCAAACACGCAGAGGTTGAGGCACCTTCCCCTTGCACCCTGCAAGGGAAATCGGCAGCAGGCACAAGTGGAAGCGGTGACCTGGGATGACTTCTCGGGACGGATGGTGAACACAAACACCGCCACTCCGGGGATTTATGGCCCTCGAGTGCAAACATCCTCATTTTGCCGACACACAGCCTCTGATCGGTTTCACACTCTCACAACAGCCACGAGCCGACTGTCGGGGATTTATGGCCCTCGAGTGCAAACATCCTCATTTTGCCGACACACAGCCGGTTTCACACTCTCACAACAGCCACGCGCCGACTGCGGGATGTTTTGTGTCCCACGGAATTTCTCACTTACTGGAATATGGCCGGGCTGGGCCCATTTTCCACCTGATTTCCCCCAGAACTTCCCAAGCTTGGGAAGCTGGCTACAACCAAGGAACGTTCACATCACTTTAGGGTAGGTGTCTGTGCTTGGTGGGACGTTTCCTTCCTCTGGATGAGGGCCCGCACTGCAGCCACGGACTGTCAGTTTTGGGCGGCTCTTTTTAGGATCGTTTGCAGGCTTTTTGCCGAACAAATGGCCCTCATTCCTTGGAGCCACCTATGAACACCTCCAGGCAAGTTGTTCTTTTACCTCCCACAAGAGGGGAGTGGTTTCGGGTGGCGGCTGGGAGGAGGAATGATTGCAACACCAAAGAGCAGGGGAATATGGGAGGGAGAAGAAATTCATCTTACCTTGGGAATCGCTGATTTACGGCAGGACTGAGCGGGGCCGGGCACACCTTGGCACGGAGCGCGCCCCGACTCGGGCAGGGGAGCGCCCACCTTCCCTCGCAGGCCGAGCTGGGGGCAAGGAATCCGCCCCGTTGTGCTGGGAAGGCTTCGAGAAACTCATCTTCTACCCGGTCACGGAGGAGCCGAAGCGGATTTGCCTCCGCAGCCCGGATTTGTCGCCCCGATGCGCGGCCGCGCCTGGCTGGGCGCTGCGCTCGTCCTTGGGGCGCAGCTCCGAGGTAAGGAAACCTGTCCCGTGCTGCCGCCTCACTCCCCTCTTCCGATCCTAAATTATCCCCAAGGATGAGGCTTTCCCCCCCGTCCTCGCTGCCATTCTTCCTGCTCGGGGTTCGCTGGAAGCGGCACGAAGCGGTTGAGTTTCTTCCCCAACAGGTTTGGGCGTATTCCGGAGGAAGAGCACCGATCTCCTCCCTGATTTCCTCCTCGGCTCCGCTTTCAACTTCTTTTTCCCTCCTGCCAGGAATCTGAACTTTACTCCCAGCCTTTCTTCTTCTTCTTTCTTTTTTTTTTTTTTCTTGCTACCTTTGTTCCTAAACAGTCGGGGATTGTCCAGGAGCTCCGGCTTCAGATCCTTTACACAGCAAAGGCTCCAGACTGACACGAAACTCACCTGAATTTTCAGTGCTTTCTATCAAAACACCTGGACTTTAATAACAACACATCTTCCTGTCCCAAATGCATCAGCACACGGATGTAATCTGCCTTGGAAAAAAAAACATTTTACTCTTATTTCTCGCTTAGTTCTTTTCAAGGAGTTTAGAATGAAAAGATTTGGCACCGAATCCATGTATGAGCAACGTGATCTCTGCCAATGAGGTTTTTCACGTGTGAATACTCTCAATGCTTTGGCATTCCAAGTCTTTTTCCCTTGGAGATAAGGAATTATTTGGAAGGAAGTATTTAGTAATAAGCTATTTTAAAATACCTCTTTATTCTGAAGCTGTATTTTACAACCCTGTATAAGCTTTTTTTTTGGCTTGAATCACACTGGGGTAAGTTATCTTCTTAATGTGACAGGATATTGAGACTTTCTATTTCATTCACCAGCAAACCATTAATTTTTCTTATTTTTCATTTTCCTCCTGTCTTTTCCTTGCTCTCCTTCCTGCTGCTTGTCCTTCTTCCAGGGGAGCATCGAGTGAGCGATGCTCACTTATTTCTAAAGCAGCAGCCATGGTGGCTGTGGGGATGTTTCTGGGAAAAACAAATCCACATTTATCTTGAGGATTTCCTCTAGACCTGATTGAATTTACCCGCAGTTGCTCAGCTGGGTTGTAAAGCCTCTAAAACCGGCTCTGGATGTACCAGTAAGAGCAGTTTCACCGTGGTGTGCACGAGGCTGAGTAGAAAGTGTAGAAAGGGAAGTTCCAGCATGGGAAATAGCAATTATTGGGTGGGTCCAGTCCAGTCTGAAAGGGTTTTTCTGAATAAATCGGCAGGACCACCCCCCTTGGAATGCATGAGACACTCAGGCGATCCCTTGCCAGCACAGATAAGGCTCCCGGGGAGCTAAAGCTGATAAGAGCAGCGATGAGCTCGCTCGGGACTGTGATTTCCCCCTGTGTTTGCCCTGCAGCGCTGTGGCTGGCGGCGGCAGTGGAAGTTCACACTGCCAAGGAGGTGGTGGCCGTGAACGGGACCAACCAGCGGCTGAAATGCACCTTCTCCAGCAGCAGCCCCGTGAGCCAGCAGCTCTCAGTGAGCTGGAACTTCCAGCCCGAGGACCTGAGCGCCCACGAGCCGGTGAGTGAGATCTCCGTGCTCCCTTCCAGGGGCTCCCCTCACCCCAAAACCCAGCGCTGGGTGAGCAGTGAGTGGGTACAGGCACACCCAAACCCACAGGTACACCTGGGCCTTCGTCACTTGCGGTGATTAATCCGAGTCCTGTTTATAGACTCTGCCTAAAAAACACTCTCATGTTTAGTTTTGGGTGGTCAGGTTAAAATATTTGCGGCTTTACGAAGCTGGACCTGCTGACACCACGGCTGAGCCCTGTCTTAGGTGAATCCTGCACCTGATGAGACTCCAGGAATTTCCCAGGTCCCTTCAAGCCCAGGCCATTGGACGTTCCTGTGACTTTTGCAGGTATTTTACTACCTGAAGGAGCCCTACGAGCCCCCCTCGGGCAGGTTTAAGGACCGAGTCACCTGGGATGGGAACATTGAGCGCCACGACGTTTCCATCATCGTCTGGAACCTGAAGCCCAGTGACAACGGGACCTTCACCTGCCAGGTGACAAACTGGCCAGACGTCTATGGCACCATCGGGGAGGTGCGACTCCGGGTTGTGCAGAAAGGTGAGAGGCCAAGAAACCCCCCAGGGGCCGTGTGGGTTTAAGCAGAGTGGCATTCTTTTAGGAAAAAAATGTTTCACCGAAAGAATAATAAAGCACTGGGATGCTCTTCCCAGAGAGGTGGTGGAATCACCATCTCTGGATGTGTTTAAAAAAAAAGCTGGACATGGTGTTGTGATAAGACACGAAATGATGACACAGACACTGCTGCTCTCGAGGGGAACAAAAAGAAGAAGAAGAAGAACTTTATTTTCTGACTCCAACATTTATAGTTTTCCAAAGGTGACAGTGGATTGGAGGGTGACAGTGCCCCCTCTCCAATGCCACTGGACAGACCAAGGGTCCATCAATTCTCTCCCCCTCCATGAAAGAATGCAAAACATAAGTTATTTACAGAACTGTGTGTGAGAAAGTTTGTTGAAAGAATGCAAACATCAGAAGGCTTAACAAAGTCTTACAAAATCAAAACAACAGACATGGCACCTGGTGCTGTAGTCTAGATTCTGAGTTGAGGTGTTGGGACATAGGTTGGACTTGAAGATCTCAGAGGTCTCTTCCAACCTCAATATTCTGTGTGATTCTGTGATTCTTCCACACCTGGGAAAATCGTGGGATTTCCCACGTGGACTTCCCATGTGGAAATCGTGGGAGAAAAGGGGTGGTAAGCAGAAAGCACGAGGGGAAAAGAGGAGCCCGAGGACAGGTTTTATTCACAGATACAGGACCCCAGCCTCGTTCCTTCTCTGCTTCATTCCTCTGTCTCTCCCCACGCAGTGAGCTTCTCAGAAATCCATTTCCTGGCCGTGGCCATCGGGTCTGCCTCGGCGCTGATGATCATCGTGGTGACAGCCGTGATAATCTGCCGGCAGCGCCGCAGGAAGGCGCGAGACAGGAGGCTGGAGGCGGCAGACACCGAGCGGTGAGGCCACGGCACGGGGGAGGCTCCTGGGACAGCTTGGAATTTGGCTTGGACCCTGCACGGAGGGGAAACTGCCAACCCAATTAGCGATAATTGGCGGCGTGCAGGCAGAGCAGAGCCCCGGGATGGACAAGCTCTGGATCCTCTCTGCCTCTTGCCCTTCTCAGTGGCTCCTCACTCAGAAGGACGCAGCTGCTGAGCACCCTGTCCCCCGAGCTGTGGTCACCACTCGTGTGGCACACTCACCACGTCACCTTGGGTGTGCTGTGTGTGACTCAGGACATCCTGCTGATCTGCCTGACACTGATTTGGGCTTTTTTTCTCTTTTTTTTTTTTTTTTCCCTCCCATTTTTATAACAGTAAAGAAAAGGAGAGCCTGAAGATGGGGGAAGAAAAGGAACCCATTCCATTGGAAGATTAAAGGTCTTTGCTGGTGTGCACAATGCAGGTACCCATCCAAACCTTCTCTAATTAATGTCTCAGTGCTCCTGTGGACTCCCCAAGACATTCCCTCGGGTATTTCCCTGCTGTTCACAGTCAGAACTGAGGCCACAGTCACACTTTGCTGTTGAGGATCCTTCAGAGACAGCTGCACAATCCCTGAACAATCACAGCCTTTTCATGTACAAGAGATTTCTCCACCCTGGCGTTGAGGAGCATTTGTAGGAAAGTCATTGTTGCTGCTTTCCATGGCTTGCCTGCTTTGTAGGTGAACAGGGATGAATAACTTTCCTTTTGTCAGTGTAGAATCTGCTTTTTGATTACTTTAACCTTTATTGTTTTAAAATTGCAACAGGAAGTCTGGCACTATTTCCATATTCATTGTCTTTGCTTAAACATGTCAGCACAAATTTTACCCACACTTTCTGAGGTCAGCAGTTGCCTCTATTATTTTGGTTTTTGACAATAACCCTGAGTAATGGCTGTTTGTTTTTCTTCCAATCTTTCTTCTCAGGTTCTTCCAAAGCAGCTGGTGAAAGCTTGTAATTTGGGGTGTTAGAACAAAGCTGGATTACAGACGCCCCACGCTGCCAGTGCGGAACCTCTGCTCAACCTGAAAGTCTTGCATGGAAAGAGGGTGACTTTACATGAGCTGTGAATTCCCTCCAGTGAAGCAAAGCAGGAGGATCTTGCCCCACGAACAAAGAACTTCCCTTCATCTTCTCACCTGCGGAACGGGAGCACGGCTCCTCTGGAAGATGAAAGTGCCAAGGCTGACTGAACAGAGGGCTGGGAGGTGTTTGAGCAGATGCACTCCTGCACCTTAGAAACCACAACGTGCCTTTGTGCTGCCCTGGTTTTATTCCCTGACACTCCTCCCTGGCATCCTGAGAAGGAAGACTGAGCAGTGAAGTCTCAGCTGGTGCAACAAACGTCCTTGGAATCCCTTTTGTATGTTAGATGGACACTGTTAGAGCTGGGCAAGGTCTGCTGTTTGTTATCAGGGATGACATTCACCAGCCAGGGTGCTTTGCACATCCTTCTCTGGCAGCTTTGGGGGATGAGGGGAGTTTTCTGCCTGGGCTCAGCAGCTCCCCCCCATTCCCATTCCCACTCTTGCTATCCCAGTGCTCCCCTCTGGTCCCCAAAACTGGAACCCATGGATTTCTAACGGTGTCTAAGCAGCCCCAAACCGATCCTGTTACAGTATTTACCCAGCCCCAAATCACAGCATTGGCCTGTTTGTTTGTAGAGTGTCTTTATGGCTTTATAACCTGTGAAGTGCCAGCGTTCCCTGGCTCCTCCCTGGCTGTCTGTTTTCATTTGCACTCGCCTGTGTTGTAAATAAAGGCACCTTGCTGACAGCTGTGCTGGTGTGGAGTGGGCTGTGACCTGGGGACCCCTGACACCTGAAATGAGCAGATTTGCACTGTTTGTCCCCAAAATCAGATTTGTTACCCGGTGTGCAACAAACCAATAATGAAATACTTCAGGGAGACATTGATTATTGATTGCAGAGGAGCCCAAGCCCAGGTGCTTGGTGGTGTCCCACAAATCCAGCACATCCACTGGACTTTTACCACCATTTGTGCACAGAAATCAGAGTTAGTAAATCTCCAAGTCCAGCCCCTCTCTTACAATGGATTATTAATTCCCATACAAGTTTCCAGCCCTTCTCTTACAATTGATTATTAATTCCCATACAAGTTGTGTCACCCCAGCCAACTTCTACCCCTGCTCAGGGGCAGGCTCTTCACCTGGCCAGGGTCTCTTTGACCTGTAGCTGTGATTTTTGATATTAAAACCAAGATAGTTCAGCTCTAGGATATATAAACCTCGGGTGTTTAGCCCAGTTTGCAATGTACACACAGACACACATCAACATCTTGATTTATTGCATCCCTAAAACTTGTGTGTTCCAGGGTGTCCTTGGCTAAGGGATGCTCCCTGTTCCCCTGATTAGGTCTCTCTTTTTTTTTCCTGATTGTGCTTGAAAATCTACACAGATCTCACAGCGAGGAACATCCTGACTTAATAATGTAATCCTGACACATTCCTCGATTTGTGGGCACCCAAAAAAGCCCCCAAAGCTCAGTGAGCAGGCTGGCGGTGACAGGAGCCTCAGGGATTTGGGGACAACAGCGGTGGCCGCGCTGGCCTTTCCCAGCAGGGCTGCCCAGGTGTGCCCACCCAGGTGTTCGTACCCAGGTGTGCCCAGGTGTTCATACCCAGGTGTGCCCACCCAGGTGTGCCCAGATGCTCCCACGCAGGTGTGCCCAGGTGTTCCCTCCCAGGTGTTCCCAGGTGTTCGTACCCAGGTGTGCCCAGATGTGCCCACCCAGGTGTTCCCTCCCAGTTGTGCCCAGGTGTTCCTGCCCAGGTGTGCCCAGATGCTCCCACCCAGGTGTGCCCAGGTGTTCTCTCCCAGGTGTTCCCAGGTGTTCCCTCCCAGTTGTGCCCAGGTGTTCCTGCCCAGGTGTTCCCAGGTGTTCCCACCCAGGTGTTCCATCCCAGGTGTTCCCTCCCAGGTGTACCCAGGTGTTCCCAGGTGTTCCCTCCCAGGTGTTCCCACCCAGGTGTTCCCACCCAGGTGTTCCCAGGTGTTCCCTCCCAGGTACCATGCCAGGTGTTCCCAGGTGTTCCCACCCAGGTGTTCCCAGGTGTTCCATCCCAGATGTACCCAGGTGTTCCATCCCAAGTGTACCCAGGTGTTCCCACCCAGGTATTCCATCCCAGGTGTTCCCTCCCAGCCGTACCCAGCCGTACCCAGGCGCCGCGGCCATTTCGGGGCTGCCCCGCCCTCACCTGCGCCAGGTGAGCGCCATGTTCCGGGGCTGAGCCCGGCCGGGATGCGGCGCCCAGGGCCGGCGGGGGCCCGCGGCCGCCTCCTCCTCCTCCTCGTCCTGCCGCGGGGGGCTCTGCTGCTGCTGCTCGGTAACGGGGGGCTCCGGGGCCGGGAGGGGCCGGGAGCGGCAGTGCCCGGGGGTCCCGCGCTGGAACCGGGCCGGCAGCGCTCGGGATGCGGCTGCGACGGCCGTGGGTGGTCCCGGGGCAGGGGGAGGCTCGGGAAGGGTGGTCCCGGTGCTCTGGGGGACTGGGGAGGCTCGGGAAGGGTGGTCCCGGTGCTCTGGGGGATTGGGGAAGCTCGGGAAGGGTGGTCCCGGTACTCTGGGGGACTGGGGAAGCTCGGGAAGAGCCGTCCCGGAGCCGTGGGAGGCTCGGGCAAAGGTCTGCCCGGAGCGGCGGGTGTCCCGGGGCGGAGGGAGACTCGGGAGCGGCCGGAGTTGAACGGGACAGAGGCGGCTGCGCACCCTGGAAACAAGAACTGAAAGTATTTGCTGCTGTGGGGAGAGTTTTGACCCTGTGCGGGTGAAATTCAGGCGCTGTGGCCAGAGCCGCAGAGCAGAATTGCTTTAAGTCCCTATAAAGCTGGTACTTGGTAACTCGTCAGAGACCCAGCTGATTCCATTTCTCAGCTCCTTGTCTCCACATCCAAACACTCCCGGTGCTGCTGCCCCGGTACCTCATTTGGAGCCGGTTCCAGTCCCACGGAGAACAGGGCAGGGAAGTTTTCTGCTTTCCTGCAAATTTCAGTGCTGGGGAGGGAATCGTGACTGTGCTTTAGTCCCTGAATTCTGGCTGACCTGCACATTTTTGGGACAATTTTTGCACCTCTCAGGTAGCAAGAAATGAATTCACAGCCTTTTGTGCCTGTTCCATCAGGTGTCTGCAATGCTCTTTCCCTGGAAATTAAAGCCAGTCCTAAAGTCCGAGCTTTTGTGGGTGAGCAAGTGCTGCTGAAATGCTCCTTCAAATCCAGCTCGCCCATCACCGAGAGCCTGCTGGTGGACTGGACCTACCGGCCCCTCACTGGGGGCCAGATGGAGACCGTAGGTGGAACAGGGCCAGGCCTCTGGGCATGCTGAAAATTGGAATTTTCTCTTTGCTTTGCTGGGCTCTGCCTCGCTTTGTGGTTTGGGATGCTCGTTGTTGTCTTCTTTCCCCTGTAAAATTTCTTTGGTGTTTCTCTGGGGGGGAAAAATGTTCCATAATAATGCTAAAGTAGATAAATTCAGGGGGTTGTCACAAGTGCTGCACTGTGCACTGCACAGGATAGCTGTAAAAATTCAGTTTGTTGCTTTATTTCTCTTATATAGGAAATATTCTTCCTGACTTCTTAATGTGACATAATTCCTTTCTTTTTACAAAGCAAAATTCCTTTATTTTTGCAACGCAAAAGCAGTTCGCTCTGTGTGTTCTATTGCCACAATCCCTGCCTTTCCCTCCTCGCAGATTTTTCATTATCAGTCCATCCCACACCCCACAACAGGGGGGAGGTTCAAGGACAGGATATCCTGGGTCGGGAATGTCGCTAATGGTGACGCCTCCATCGCCATCCTGAACCCAGTGCTCAGTGACAACGGGACGTTCATCTGCAGCGTGAAGAACCCTCCAGATGTTTATCACAACATTCCCCAGACCGTGCTGGTGGTTACAGAGCGGGGTAAGGCTCCCTGCCCTCGCTTTGGCCTCACCCCTGTGACAAGAGCTGCTTTGTGGGATCTTGGAATTCTGAGCATCACGTGGGAAATGCTCCCTGGACTTCCACGCTGGAGTTTCAGCAGGGGTTGCCTCAGCCCCGCTCTCTGAGCCCAGAACTTTGTGAACTGCTGAATTGATTTGGGGCAGGAAGGGACGGGGGGAGCTGTGGTGACAGCAGAAATCAAAAGTGTCCCTTTGTTCAGAAGTTTTCAGCCTCCGCAAATTGCGGCAGAACAAGTTAAACATTGAGGAAACGCTGGCCTAAAAATAATCTCCACATCACAGAGCTGATTGTCAGTACCAATTTCCTCATCTGCCCTGCGTGCCAGCCCTGCCCCAAATTCCCAGCTCAGCCGTGCTGATGGAGCTGTGGCGTGCCTCCCTCTGCACCTGAGCCTGGGCTGGGCCTGGGGACAGGAACCCTGCAGGTTTGGGGAACACAGGGCTGGGGACAGGAGCCCCACGGCTTTGGGACTGCAGATTTGGGGTCAGGAGCCCTGTAGGTTTGGGGACTGGAGCCCACAGATTTGGGGACAGGAGCCCCACGGGTTTGGGGACTGCAGATTTGGGGACAGGAGCTCCGCAAGTTTGGGGACTGGAGCCCACAGATTTGGGGACTGGGCTGGGCCTGGGGACAGGAACCCTGCAGGTTTGGGGAACACAGGGCTGGGGACAGGAGCCCCACGGCTTTGGGACTGCAGATTTGGGGTCAGGAGCCCTGTAGCCGCGGCCGCCTCCTCCTCCTCCTCGTCCTGCCGCAGTTTTGGGGACAGAAGCCCCACAGGTTTGGGGACAGGAGCCCCACGGGTTTGGGGACTGCAGATTTGGGGACAGGAGCTCCGCAAGTTTGGGGACTGGAGCCCACAGATTTGGGGACCCCAGTTTTGGGGACAGAAGCCCCACAGGTTTGGGGACAGGAGCCCACAGATTTGGGGACCTCAGGTTGGGGGTCAGGAGCCCCACAGGTTTGGGGTCAGGCATCACACAGATTTGGGGACTGCAGGCTTGGGGACAGGAGCCCCACGGATTTGGGGACCACAGGTTTCGGGTCAGGAGCCCCACAGGTTTGGGGACAGGAGCCCCACGGGTTTGGGGACTGCAGATTTGGGGTCAGGAGCCCCACAGGTTTGGGGACAGGAGCCCACAGATTTGGGGACCTCAGGTTTGGGGACAGGAGCCCCTCAGATTTGGGGACCTCAGGATTGGGGACAGGAGTCCCACAGGTTTGGGGACCGCAGGTTTTGGGACCACAGGTGTGGGGACAGGAGCCCCTCAGATTTGGGGACCCCAGGTTTGGGGACAGGAGCCCCACAGGTTTGGGGACCTTAGATTTGGGGACCTCAGGTTTGGGGACAGGAGCCCCTCAGATTTGGGGACCCCAGGTTTGGGGACAGGAGCCCCTCAGATTTGGGGACTCCAGGTTTGGGGACAGGAGCCCCTCAGATTTGGGGACCTCAGGTGTGGGGACAGGAGCCCTGCAGATGTGGGGACAGGCTGTTTGCAGCCTGCCAGCCCCGTGTGTCACATGGGAGGGCCACCAGGCTGTGCCCTGGCTGTGTTTGTCCCAGAGGCTCAGCCAAGCCGTGCCTCGCTGTGTTTCAGGCCTGGCCTTCCAGCTGAGCTCAGCTGAGCTGCTGTCCATCCTGGTGTTCCTCCCTTCTGCCCTCGTGGTCATTCTGCTGCTGCTGAG